GCACTTTCCCACTCTATAGACTGTGCATAATGATGCTCCCGTAGGGAGTGTCCTGAGGGTTAAATGAGGTAATGCATACAACGTGCTTGTCTTCGTGTCTGGCCCATGGTGAGTATATTTGTGGGTCAGGTGCCGAGACCATTGCTAGGGATAGCAGAGAATGAGGTGCTGCTTCACCCAGCAGTCATCGGAGCATCTGCCAGTGCCAGGCAGTATGCTGAGAACACAGGAGACACGAGAGCTCCTTCGCCCGTGAGAGGCAAGTGCCGTAATCATACTCCAGGTGCTTGGCGCTCGGGAGCTGTGCATGAAATGAAGAAGGGTGTGGCCCGAATCCTACAGGGAAAGCTGAGAGACAGGGAGAGGGGAGGGACTCTCGCAGAGGACACTCAGGGCTACAGAGCACGTTACAGCTGAGGGACTGAGAGGAGGCTGTGTCACAGAGTGGCAGAGAGAAGGGAGAAAAGGAAGGAAGAGTTTTTCTCCAAAGCACAACTGATTTTTAGCAGCGAGAGTCAAGATCCAGTTTGCATTTTGGAAGGGTTTCTCCCCTGCTTTGTGACAGGGGCTGCAGGGCCAGACTGCAAAAGAGTGCAGGATGACCCTGAACTTCTGACTTCTGGTGTGTGGATGGGTGAGTGGGCTGTCTCCTAAAACAGGAACACAGAAGGAGAGTTGGGCTTGCGCGGGGAGAGCGTGAATTTGCTCCTCGTCGGGCTGAGCTTGCAGTGCTTCTGAGTCACGTCACTGGCTCTTGGGAAGTGTCGGGCTCAGGCACAGACCTGAGCGGCATCTGCAGAGAGGTTCTGGACAAAGCCATGGGCACACATGGGGTTGCTGGGGTGGGGGATGCAGGGTGCACCTAGCACTCGAGGAACCCTAGCCTCTGATGGCCAGGCAGAAGAGCATGAAACTGAGGGAGCTGCCGGAGAGGTAGGAAGAGAGCCAGGACGTGCAGCAGAATCTGGAAGTCAGCGGCAGTTTCTAAATAAGATGCGATCAGTCCATCCAATGTCCAGGGAACAGATGCTGGAAAACGTCCTTGGCTTTGACAGCTCAGAGGTCACTGGTAGAGCAATGTGTGTAGAACACCTGCTGGAGAGGCCGGTACTGTGGCCTAGTGGGTAAAGCCACTGCCTGCGGTGCCAGCATCCCATATGGGTGCCAGTTAAGTCCTGGTCGCTCCACTTCAATCCAGATCCCTGCTAATGTGCTTGGGAAAGCAATGAAGATGGCCCAAGTGCTTGGGCCCATGCACCCACATGAGAGAGCCACATGAAGCTCCTGGCTCCTGCCTTCAGACCGGTCCATCCCCAGCTGTTGCAACGATTTTGGGGGAGTGAACCAGTGGAGTGAGGAAATGGAGATTCCAGCCTGGGTAGCTGTGTGGGGAAGTTGGCTGTGTGGGAAGGGAAGGGAGGGGAGGATGCAGGGAAGTTTTACTTTAAAACTTTTAAAGTTTTTAAAAAATTTGAAGTTTTACTTTAAAATGTCTTGATTGTGTTAATATGGAAGAGTTTCTGTCCTGTAAGTCTTGATGGCAGGCTTGGGTCAAGGAGTTATAGGGAAGAATGGGTAGAGAAAAGCATCGATTTTAGGGAGTCCACACAGGCAGGCCGCAGGAAGTTGGAAGGGCGCATTCAGGGTGAGTCTGGAACATGGGAGAGCAGCTGCAGTTAGAAATCCCAGCGAAGGCCTGCTGAAGCTGGGCTCCAGCACTCCCCGAGCCTCCTGAGCTCACTCTGCGGCTGTTGAAACCCGGCCTGCAGTGTCATGAGCTTGGACGCTGTCGCTGCTCACCTTGGCTTTGCTGGTTCTCCAGGGCAGATTGCTTTTGATGGTCTCCTGGGAGATGGCTGTTGTGTGGCTCAGACTCCGGAGCCAGGTGGCTTTGAGTTCTAGCTCCATAACAGGGTGGCCTTGGATGAGTTGCTTCTCTGCCTCCCTAATGCCTCAGTTTTCTCTCCTGTAAGCTTAAGGTACTTAGAGTATCCAGTGCGCACGTTGCTTGGGGATTGAATGAGAAGTGCACATAGGACACTTAGAGCAGTGTTTGACTATTTTTTTCTTTTTTTGACAGGCAGAGTTAGACAGAGAGAGAGAGACAGAGAGAAAGGTCTTCCTTTTCCGTTGGTTCACCCCCCAGCGGCTGCTATGGCCGGTGTGCTATGGCTGGTGTGCTGCGGCTGGCACGCTGCGCCGATTCGAAGCCAGGAGCCAGGTGCTTCCTCCTGGTCTCCCATGCGGGTGCAGGGCCCAAGCACTTGGGCCATCCTCCACTGCCTTCCTGGGCCACAGCAGAGAGCTGGCCTGGAAGAGGTGCAACTGGGACAGAATCTGGTGCCCCGACCAGAACTAGAACCCGGGGTGCCAGCGCCGCAGGCGGAGGATTAGCCTAGTGAGCTGTGACGCCGGCCAGTGTTTAACTATTCTTAAGTGTACAGAAAGAGGGTGCACTGACTGATCATCCATCTGGGGCCTTCGGTGCTGGTGTTCTATCCCTGGTGCACCAGATGGCGACAGAGCATTGGGGAGCACACCCTGTCTTCCTGAAAGGGCTCCTCCGGTGGATTAGCTGCTTCTGCTTCAGGGCCCTGATCGATGTAAGGTGAAGTATTTTGTTCTCTCCTTTCTCTCTGGCTTCTCTCAAGCTTCTGGTAGAAATTTGAGACTTATTTACATTTTGTTCATAAAATATAAGTGATGGGTGTTTGGGACACTTGGGACACCTGCATCCCTTACTGACGGAGTGCCTGGGTTTGAGTCCCAACTCCACTTCCAATCACAGTGCCTGCTGTCGTGCGTCCTGAGAGGCAGCAGGTCCTAGCTCAGGTTGTGGGTCCCTGCCACCACTTGGGAAACCCAGACTGAGTTCCCACCTCTGACTTTGCCCTGTCCAACCTCAGCTGTTGTGGGCATTTGGGGGGTGTGAACCAGCACATGGGAGATCTCTGTCCGTCTTTCAAATAAATAAATACATTTTTAAAATTAAAAAAGTATTTTGAGTAAAGTAACACATGCAAAGGGCAGGAGTTTGTCCCAAGGGTTAAGACACAGCTTGGGAAGCCCACATTCCATATGGAAGACCTGGATTCGGTTCCTAGCTGCTGGCCCAGTCCTGGTGTTGCAGGCATTTAGGGAGTAAACCATCAGATGGAAAATTCCTATCACTCTGCCTCTCAAATAAAATGAAAATGGGGGGGAAAAAGTAACTCAAGCGTGCAGTAAAACACGAGGTGATTCAGAATGGTTGTGGTGACAAGCAGTAGTCCTGTGCGTGGTCCACCTTGACCTGCTCCCTGGCTTACTCCTCGGAAGCACCCACTTCTGTTTTCATTACCATATAATTTTGTATAGCTGAATTTTATATTACTTCAAACTGTTTAGCAATTTAGCTATTAAAGTATCTTTCTTGGAGTTGGAGAGAGTCGAAGTTCCATGGGTTTCAGGAGCTTCTTGTGCCAGTCACTGTGACGGGCACTCAGCAAAGTCCCTGCCCCGGGATCTGTCCTGGCGGTGATGTCAGCAAAGGCTTTGTGGACGAGGGGACACCCGATGAAGACAGGACCTGGTCTGGCCGACAGCAAGGACAGGGAGGGGAGTAGCAGGCTCCTGAGCCCGGGGGAGCTGGAAGGCTGCAGGGTAGAGTCTGCTGGGGGGTGTGAGCGAGTGTGGTGGTACCTCGGGCACGGGGGGGCGGACCAGTCAGGAGGGCATTTTGTGGTGGCAGAAACTCTGGATAAGGCAGCACCGAGGAGCTTTTGCAGTCGCCAACACAATTTCCTACGTGTATTGGAAGAGCCCTCTTGGGGGTGCGTACAGAACGGCTTGTGTGGGTTAGGAGAACTTGGGAGATGATGGCGACAATCCAGTTGAGAAATGGCAAGGGCCTGCCTGCCTGCAGGCAGAGACAGAAGCCAGAGGGCAAGATTGGGCCTGAGAAACAAAAAGGAGGCGGACTTGACAGGCTCAGGGAGGAAGGGCATGGCAGAAGACGATTCCCAGCATGCTGGTTTGGGCAGTTAGAGGCACGCTGATGCCTGTGCAAGAGCCGGGAAGTCCAGTGGGAGACATGGGAGGTTTTAGGCTCATTTTAGATTTGCTGAGCCTGACTCGGCTTTGATGATATCTAGAGGAGACCCCAAGACAGTTGGGGTCACTGGAGACCGCCACTTCTGGCTTTGACATCTTCCTCAGGGTACTAAGCCACTGCAAGCCCAGTTCTATTTTCTGTTAAACGAGGAGACGGCAACACCTGTCACAGTCCTTGTGTTCACCAAGAAGTGTCCACAGAGACAGAAACCTCCTGTTCTCCCTTACATGGAGGAGCTAAAATTAAAACGGGAAAAGCCAGAAAATAAAAAAAGAAAGATGCCCACATCTATCAGTTTTGTGGCAAATATAGTGTTTTATCAAACTTTGTTTTAAATTTTTGCCATATTGTTAAGAATTATATATTACTATAGTTTGAATGATTTTGTGACTATTTTAAAATTTACTTTGAGTGAAGTTGAGCATCTTTTCAACTGATCATTTGCAGTAACTGGCCTATTTTCCTGCTGAACTGTGGTCTTTTTACTTCTGGTGGAGCATCAAGCCTTTGACTATAATGTAACTTTAAAAATACATTATCAAAAATAAAGTTCATAGGAAAGTAAACACAGATCATAAAAAAAAAAAAAAAAAAAAAAAAACAATTTAAAAAGTCCAGCAGAGGTCATGGCCAGAGCGAGGGATTGGTGAAGAGACTTCTCTCCTTCCTTCCTAGGGCTCAGAGGACCTCGACCCTGCAAGCCAGTTACTCCTTACATTCTGAAGTCAGCAATTTGGGGTGTTTTCAGTGTCCAACAAAAAAAACTGCTTGCAGGAATGAAATTTTATGTAGTTTGTACTTTAAGTCCTTATAGAAGATGGCTTAGAATTTTGCTTATGTTAAAACCATCTTGACTGCCCAGCCACTGTGTATGTCACCTCTTACCATTGACTTTCCCTCTGTTTAGAAAGCGTGTGCCTTCATCAAATCTAACCTTGACCCCAGCAACGTGGATTCCCTGTTCTACGCCTCCCAGTCCAGCCAGGTCCTCTCAGGGTGTGAGGTGAGTCCAGGTTCCTGCTCTGACTGCAAGCGTGAAGCACGTCTGTACATCTCTCGAGGGCCCCTTGACTTTTCGTGGGTCTGGAACTGTCCCCTACTGCTGCCACTCTGGCTCTGGAAGGGCTTGGCTTTTTCTTCCCATTTCCCTTGAACATCTAAAAATGTGCACAGTAGCCCTCATACCAGGTTTCTGGAAATCGCTGTATTGAACACAGGAGACCCATGTAAGTAACTTGTCAGCAGCTTTTAAGGAGGGGGGAGCTGGGGTTTTGCAGCCGTTTCTCTCTGGTGTCTGAGGATTGGCGGGGACACGTCTGGCGAGGCGGGTGTGACTGGCAGTTGCTCTGTGTGCCACGTCGGGCAAGCTCATCACACATTGCCAGAACCTGAAACTCTGCCAATCCTTTCTCAGATCTCTGTTTCCAATGAAACCAAAGACCTGCTTCTGGCGACTGTCAGCGAAGACTCTTCCGTGGCCCAGATCTACCATGCAGTGGCCGCCCTGAGTGGCTTTGGCCTTCCTGTGGCGTCCCAGGAAGCACTCGGGGCCCTTACTGCTCGTCTTTCCAAGGAGGAGACTGTCCTGGCGTGAGTTGTCATCTTGAGGCTTCTCAGGCTTCCTGGAAGCTGTCCTTGGGGGGTTCATTCGTTGGTGCAGGAACCATTTCTTGGGCATCTATGTGTCAGGTCCTCTGCTGGGCATGGCAGACATCACGCTAAGTTAAACCAGATGAGATCATGTCCTGTGGAGCTCACGTAGGTGCAGGCCTCTGCAAGCTGCTCAGGCAGAGGGCATGGGGCAGGCGTTGGACGGAGCAGTTAAGGTGCTACCTGGGACACCACCTGGGACACTCACATCCCATACAGAATGCCTGGGTTCAGCTTCTGCCTCTGCTTCTGATTCTGGCTTCCTGGTGGTGCAGACCCTGTGAGGCATCCAAGTGGCTCGAGTGCTTGGGCCCCAGCCACCTATGTGGGAGATACGGATGGAGTTCTGAGTTCCCAGCTTCAGCCTGGCCAGTGCCAGCTGTTGCAGGCATTTGGGAGTGAACCAGCAGATGGAACTCTGTCTTTTCTCTCTTTATTTATTTTTTTTTTTTGTCTCTCTGCTTTTCCAAATAAATAACTAAATAAGCCAGATACTAGCACACAGAGGCACAGCTGCCTTCTGACGCGGTGGGCTAGAGTGGTGGGCCACATGCATGTCTTGCCGAGGCTTGGCCGGCACGGGGATATGTTGGCAGTGGGAACTCTGTAAAGAAGGCTGGGGGAGTCCTTTGGAGCTGCGGGAGCGTGGGCCTCAGCAGGTGGGGTTCTCTAGGAGCTATACTCCGCTGCCCTGGACTGGCACCACCCAGGAAAGGGACTGAGCAGCTTTCCTGTTTGTTGTAAAAGGAAATGTAACTGATTTCAGGGTAGTAAACTTAAACATGATAATACATGTTGTTTTAACGTTAAAACTCCTCATTGGAAGCTGGTTTTTGTTGTTTTCTGTGTGTTTCCACGTAACTGCCACCCCTGAAAGAGCAGGTGGAGGACCTGGAGTCCTGTTCATTGTTTTCGAAGAAGCTGGTGACACCGGTTTCCCCTTTCAGAACAGGAAGATGCTTCCCAAGTTTTGTTGGCTAACAACCAGATTTCCTCTAAACTAGCAGCTTTGTAAAGGCCGGGTCCACTGTCAGTTGCCTGCCTGCCTGCCTGCCTGCCTGCCTCTCTCTCTCTCTCTCTCTCACACCCTCCTCACATTCACATGATCGGTAAACAGTGACTTTGGGGTCAGTGTTTGGGGGCTGGTATTTTGTACACACTTTGCCCAGGCCTTGGTCTTTTGATTTCAAACCACATATGTTGATCTCTGCTATAATTCCTTTGTGGTAGAATTCTTCCTTGGTCACCACATCTCATGTCATGATGTCACTGTACTTGCCTTACTGCAGAATAGTCACTTTGGCCTCTTAAGCACAAAAGAAAGTCTTCCTCAAACTCCCAGAAAAGGAAGATGTACAAGGCAAGCCCACGCTCCTGGGGGTCAGGGAGACTTTGCATTGAACACTGCTGTGTGACCTCGGGCAGGTTCCTAACATCTGTGAGCCCCATCTGCAAGTGCCAGCATTAGTGAGGTGATTGACATGAGAGCCCAGTGCCGTGTCTGGCTGCTAGTGGGCACACAGGAAATGGAGTTCCTTCTCTAGAGCGTTTCCTCCCGAGGCTCCTCTCTCAGGGAGCTGACTGGTTACTGCCTTGTGTGTCGCGGTTATTTCCATATTAGAGCGTAAGCTGTTTTATCTACAGTGTTTATGGAACTTGACACATGGTAAGTACCCAGCCAGAATTAATAAAACCTAAACAATGACACGCCAGTCGCTTCGTCAGGGAGAAAGCACTAAGGTAGAAAGAGCTCATGCTTTGGATCAGGCGGATCTATTTTTTTTTTTCTTTTTTGGGGCTAAAGATCTATTTATTTTATTTATTTGAAAGGCAGAGTGACAGGGAGAGACAGAGAGATCTTCATTCCACTGGTTCACTCCCCCAAATGGCTGCAATGGCCAGGGCTGAGCCAGGCCAAAGTTAGGAGCCTGGAACTCCATCTGAGTTTCCTACAAGGGTGGCAGGGACCCAAACACGTGTGCCACCTTCCACTGCTTTCCCAGGCGGGTTAACAGGGAGCTGGATTGGAAGTGGAGCACCTGGGACTTGAACTGACACTACAGTGTGGAATACTTGCATCACAGGCAGTGACGTAACCCATTGTGCCACAACACCAGCCCCAGGTGGAGTTGTTTTCAAGTCCAAACTTTTACTCAGTACCTCTGTGGCCCCGAGTGGGCTATTTAGCTCACCTAAGCATCAGGATTTTGATTCATTAAACCTGGAGAATGTTTGTTTCACAGGGTTATTGTGAAGATTAAACTGGTAGAAGTTCTTAATGTGATTGCTAAGTTGCCCTTTTTGAGGAAATCTGATATAAACTAAGGTTCTTCTGAATGGGCCTTCTGCGTTTAAGTGGACTTACTCTAGGAAGTGTTTGTTTCTGAACTTGAATGGAAAAAAGAAAGAACTTGCAGGTTTGAATAAACTTTGTGAAGCTGTCACGTGGGCCCTCAGAAACCAGTCTCTGAGTCATCTGCCGCACAGGGTCTGCTCTGGTGGCGTTGGAATATTGCGCTGCTGCCGGGGAGGAGGCCGGCGTTGAAGCCGGTGACGTGGCTTCTCTAAAGCTCAGCACATTCACTTCATCCTGAGACTTCAGAGGTTACTACCAGCACGGCCCACAGTCGTTCCATAGCAGAGGAAAATGATATCTTTCTTTTTAAATTATTTATTTATTTGAAAGTCAGAGTTACACAGAAAGAGAAGGGGAGGCAGAGAGAGAGAGAGAGAGAGGGAGAGGTCTTCCATCCGCTGGTTCACCCCCCAGCTGGCTGCAATGGCAGGAGCTATGCTGATTCAAAGCCAGGAGCCGGGAGCCTCCTCCAGGACTCCCACGTGAGTGAGGGGCCAAGAACCTGGGTCATCCTCTTACTGCTTCCCCAGGCCATAACAGAGAGCTGGATTGGAAGTGGAGCAGCTGGGTCTCGAACTGGTGTCCATATGGGATGCCAGCGCTTCAGGCCAGAGCATTAACCTGCTGAACCACAGTGCCCGCCCCAATTGAAAAGTTGTTCCCACGCTGTCTTTACAGGCTTCACCAAGCTCCGTGTTTCCCATGGGTAGATGTGGATTTGTCTCTTGTTTGGAAATTCAGGTTTTATTTTCTAAGTGCATTATAACAATAGGTGTCCCCTGAGTATTCTGGAGGCTTCCCTGTTAATTGGGACTCCTCTGTTTTCCAGCTTGTCATCTTCATGAACTTAGTTTTCCATGGGGGGAACCTAAGTTGTTATGATCTTGACACGAGTGGCCAGAGCCTCGCCTTCCATTCCCTGTCATGTTGACTTGATAAGTGGTGGTTTCCTACCAGGGCCCTGGTGTCTAGGGAATTAGGGAGCCAGTCCAGGGTTGGGCAGCCATCTGTGTAACCACCAGGGGGCCTCAGCATTCTCCATTTCACCCAGAAAAGGCACCATTTATATTTTCCAAATTATTTGCATTAACAGAATAAATTCTGACTTTTAAAAATTCATATGTATACCCACGTATCACGTTCCACCTTCAAAAATTTATCTTGTAGACATACACTCATAAATGGGTTAAAATATATGAATTCATAAACAAGAACCAAGTTCTGATTACGTGCTACAAAGGGATGAGCACTGAAAACATGATGCTAAGTAAGATGCCCAACAAAGAGTATCACATGTTGTAGGATCCCGTTTATATGAAACACGGAGAACAGGTAAAGCTGTAGACACAGAACAGATTGCTGATTGCCAGGAGGAGGAGAAACTGCTGAACGGTCTCAGTGTTTTGTATGTGATGCCCTTGGACCAAAATGGAATTCCTGGCGTGGTGGGGGGGAACCTGTGCTCCTTCTCTGTCCACAGTTCCTACTGCTGGCTGTGTTACCTGGGTTGCCTTCTCAAGTTAGAATAATCTTTTCTAATCTTTGTCACGTCTTTCCCAGCTGGATTGTTAATAAACTCCTTAAAGGCTAAGATCAGCTTATATTTCTGAAGAATCAGAACGAGCAGGGGTGGGTATTTGGCCTACTGGTAGGGATGCCCATTGTCAGTGCCTGCGTCCGGTATCTGCCTTCAGATGCTTACTTGGACTTCCTGCTAATCCTGGGGCATAGTGGTGATGGCTCAAGTGGTGGGGTTCCTGCCACCCACATAGGAGACCTGGATTCAGTTCCCAGCTTGGCCCTGTCCATTACAGACATTTGAGAAGTGAACCAGCAGAGGAGAGCTCACTCTGTCTCTGCCTCTCCAAAACCCCCAAAAAAGCAAGCCTAGGCTATTTTGTGGCAGTTTCCAACTATCCATATGTGGAAAGGGGGAAAGGAGAAAGGAGACTTGTCATTCATTGGGTTCTGCTCTTTACCTTCCAGAACAATCCAGGCCTTGCAGACAGCATCCCACCTGTCCCAGCAGGCTGATCTGAGGAGCATCGTGGAGGAGATCGAGGTGAGCATGTGATCTGTCAGATGGGTCCCAGCTCCTGTCAGTGACAGCTCCTGAAGAGCCATGCACACGTGACTGTTAAGAGTCAGTTACGTCCTCTCTCTCTCTACAGCACACTTGGGTTCTTCATATGAGGGCAGTATGTCCCAGGGAGTGTGTGTTAGGCTGAGTTAATCAGGCAACGAACTGCTTTTCCAGCTGTTTGTAGATAGAATCTAAGAGTCTGCAAGTTTTAGAGCCCAACAAACCTAGAATTCAGATTTTTCTTCCTGCCGTTTCTTTGTAGTCTTAGGCAAGTTATGTAATGCCCCTAGCCTCAGTTTCCTCATGAGGTGGGTGTAGGCACAGGGGAGGTTCTGATGCATCTTGTACAGAACAGGCACTGGGTCATGGTTGTGACTTTTGTTAGCCCTCCACCATTTGCCCAGAACACCCTGCTGCCTGGGGAGCCCTGCTGTGGACTGCGTGGCCAGCAATGACAGGCAGTCCTGGTCCTGTTGCTCGGGAGAGCAGTGTGTCTCTCTTCGTCCTCTGGAGCCCTGAGTGAGAGAGAGAAGTGCTGTGCTTTGTAGGTGCTGTCCAGTAGACGGCCATGGGCTCCATCTGTGTTGTAATGCTGCCTGGTGCACTGCCACCTGGCCTCCCCGCCTGCTGCCCACAGCTGCTGGGGCCTGGGCTTGGACAGGGTCTGTACAGTACAGTTTACTCTCTGAGAAAGTGCCAGGCGACCAGGTGATGTTCAGACCTAGAGCGGGAGATCCCTCCACCCGGCGTCCATGCCGGCCTGACATCACCGTGCGTCTCTTCTGTTGGGACAGGACCTCGTTGCTCGCCTGGATGAGCTGGGGGGCGTGTATCTCCAGTTTGAAGAAGGCCTGGAAACAACAGCGTTATTTGTGGCTGCCACCTACAGACTCATGGACCATGTGGGGACTGAACCGTCCATCAAGGAGGTACCTAACAGTTCTCAGGCGTGACACCCAAGGGGTTGTCACTGTCATCTGCTGAGGGTGGCTTTTTCAGAGAGGGGTGTTCAGAAGCACCTTGGGGTGTCACTTAACATCCTGCGGTTGGCACTGAGAATGAGAAGACGCCTGTCCACAAGAAGCTGGGTGTTAGTGGAGCAGGCGACAGCCAGTGGTCACCCTTGCTGTGAGGGGTACGGGCATGTCAGGACGTGGTCGCCCTTGTTGTGAGGGGAACGTGTGTGGCAAGACGGCCATGTGTGTTGTACTTGCTTTGTCTCTGTCCTGTCCCTCTCCTTCCTGCTTGTCACATGAAGCTTTCACTTTGGTGGCCCATGCAAATCCTCTTTGTCTTGAGAAGTGTCCTCTACTTGAAAATCTTGCCTTGTCCCTCCCTCCATGTGCCAGCATTGGTTACATCGTAACTAATCCTGGCTGATGGACACATTGCCTCTGCCAGGCATCCCTCAGTAGTTCATTCCCTGGCTCTCTTTTCAGGAGGAGCTTGTTAACCTGCAGGAACTTGGGGGGTGGCCTGAATGTGGGAAGTCTGCTGGAACCTTCTTTGTACCCTTTGTGAGAAGGTTCCTAGCCCTTGACCTGAAGTCCTTAAAATGCAAGCTGCTATTACACTGTAGGAGAGATTTAGGTTTCATTTCTTTGCACAGAAAATAATTATCTGTCTCGGATAACTTGAATTATTTTCTCCAGATGATATGAGCTAATAATTTATTTGTCTATTTGCATTCTTCTATCTTTTCCTTTAGCCTAAGTGTAGGAGGCCTAACAATATCCTGTCTTCTCATTTTTGTTATGGGTGAGAATTCAGGAATTCAGCATCTTATGGTACAAATGATTTGAGGATTCTCTATACACCGTAAAGTGGATTAATGAGCACCATTCTACATATATAGCTTAAACTTTCTTGCTTTATTTTCAAGCTGCTGCTAACCAGGTATTTGGCTGGAGTAATTTTGCTGTCATTGTATTTGACACAACAGTGCTGGTGAACAGTCACCCATTTTCACATGTCAGCAGCCTAGTGGTGGAAGAATGTAATTGGCACAATTAAGGGGAATTATTTCAAGTTGACGGTGAATAACACTGTCAGGAACAAGGGAGTTCTTTTGTTAGATGATGAATTTAAAAAAGCAGAGCTGACTGGGATGGAAAATGTTCCCTCCTCGGTAAACAACCCCAGCATTTTAATAATGCCTTTTAGGTACCACTCTTAAAAAATGGCTTTTCGTTTTCCCCTTAAGCAGCCCATTCATTCTTACTGGAGAGTTATTTCCATTTCTTTCTAATAATATGCATTTTGGCTATAAAGTTTGGCCTTAGAAATACAGACCTAGCCCAGTTTACTGGCTGGAGGGGCTGTGAGGGAAGGTGGTTTAGCCAGGAGGGTGATGGGAGTCAGGAAAGAACCTTCTGCTGTGGGAGAGCTCTGCGGACAGAATAGCCCACGGGGAATGCTGGGCTCCCCTCACAGTCTTCACTTTTTTCCATTACAAACACCCTTCACCTCAGTTTCCCCATTAGGAAAAGCTTGGTAATATTGCTCTTTGAGGCTTTTTGTCAGGATTCAAGTTAGTGTGTGTAGTTTTTATTATACAGGCATTTTACACGTGCGTGCTAATGTATGTAGTTTATACTATACTTCGCATCTCAGGAGTTGCCATTCACGAAACGGCTGACAGATAAACGCCTGCCTGTCAGTTTGCAGTGGAAGACAGAAAACCAACCAAATCCAGGTTTGAACTTTAAGTGCAGCCTGTTTGCTTTAATGCAGAATCTGGGGATTAATGGCTAAAAGACCATCTAGAGGCACAGGCGAAACAGCTAAGGACTGACGGGGATCTGGCGGGGGCGGGCGCTCTCCAGCTGTGTTTCTGTTGTCCCTCAGGACCAGGTCATCCAGCTGATGAACACCATCTTCAGCAAGAAGAACTTCGACTCGCTCTCAGAAGCCTTCAGCGTGGCCTCTGCTGCCGCCGCCCTCTCCCAGAACCGCTACCACGTGCCAGTGGTAGTTGTGTCTGAGGGCCCTGGTTCCGACGCTCACGAGCAGGCCATCCTGCGGGTACGACTTGCACGCCCAGAACATGCTCCTCTGATCTCCCTTTCCAGTACAGGGCTTTCCGAAACCTCGAGTCGGGTCCACAGCCAGCTGGCGTCCCCATGAGCACAGGCCGGCCAAGCCCAAGGCGCGACTCGTTTCCCTTCGCCTGGAAGCGGGGATGTGCCTGCTGGGTGGGCCACAGACCCCTTCAAATCAGCCAAAGAAGCTGTTAGTTTTTTTTCCCTCTGCGAGGCTTTAAAATAGGACAGGCTTGCTGTAAATTAAGTGCAAAAGTTGTATTTCTGGGTCCATAACTCTGGCTGTATAGAGAAGTCTGTGTGCAGAATGCATTTCCCTCGGCCATACTTGCTGCACACATTGTATTAAGACAGCTGTTTTAATTCCCCAGTGATTCTGGTGCCCACGCTGGTAGTTGTTAATTGGGTGCTTGGCCTCTTCCTGCCTCCTCACAGGAAGCGTTCCCCACCCCCCAGTAGGGACCACTGGCCTCTCTTTTGGTGCTACATCTTGCCTTAGAGAGGGCATTCTGTTTGGACTGCAGTGGTAACCTAACTTTTGTCTGCACGTTGTTGGCATTCTGCGTGGGGCCCCTTTGCCTTGAGTTCCATCTGCTTTGATGGCCCGTGCAGATCGCCTCCTGAGGATGTGGCCTGCACTTCAGCGTGGTCCGCCTTCTCCAGGTGTCCTGCTTGTAGCCCTCCTCAGCGGGGCTGGGAAAGTAAGCTGACTGGCGTAGCTCACTGTGAGTCACGGGGGCTGGGAGGGGACAAAGTGGACAAAGCACCAGCTCTGAGCTTGGTGACTGGGGTTGAGTTCTGGACCCACCACTTAAGCGGCAGTCCTTTAACCTCTTTGGGCCTCACTTTCTTTATCTGTGAAATGGGAGCTATGCTGTCTATCTCGTGCTCATGATGGGCATACAGCTGACATTCAGCTAATGGGAGTTAAGAATGTTAATGCGTATTTACTCGGTTTCCTGATGCTGATACCTTCCTAAAGCGTTTTTCTTGCTGACAGTATTTTTTTTTTAAAGAGATTGGTAGAAGGGTAGAGCAGGACACGAGTAAACTGGAAATGTAGCTGTCTGTGTCATTTTGGGTCCGGTCGTTCTCTTTCCTTGGGCTTCACTTGCCTTCTGGCAACTGGGACAGGGTCCTCCCCAGTGCTGGCGTTCTGTGATCTGTCCTGTCCTAACCCAAATGTGTTCCTCCTGTATTTGATCTCTGATAGGCAGCAGAGCAGAGGTCAGTGAAACTTCCTGAAGGAAGGCGTGTTCTCCTGCAGGGCTTGCTCCCTGTAGTTAAGGACCCCACAAGCAAAATCCTCTTCTCTCTTAGCCTTTGTTGCTACAGATAATTTTTCTGTTTATTTCTAGTTGCAAGTCTCCAATGTTCTGTCGCAGCCTCTGACTCAGGCCACTGTGAAATTAGAACATGCTAAATCTGTTGCTTCCAGAGCCACTGTCCTCCAAAAGACAACTTTCACGCCTGTCGGGTGAGTCCTGAGCACGGTTTTGCAGAGCCTGTTTGTTTTGGGACCTTAGCTTGCAGCCAGTATAACAGATTAATTGGATATTGCCAAGATTAGGAAAACAAATTTACCTAAATTTCAGTTCAGTAAATTTTGATTACTGATAGCAGAATCCTAAAGTAGATAAATACAAGAAGAGGATTAAAAATGTTTTTTTTTTTTTTCCATTTTATTTGGAAGGAAGCAAAGACAAACAGATCTTCCATCCACTGATTCCCTGCCCAAATGCCCACAACAGCTGAGGCTGGGCTAGGCTAAAGCTAGGAGTCCAGAACTCAGTCAGGGCCGCCCTGTGGGTGGCAGGGACCCAAGTACCTTGAGGCATCATTCGCTGCCTCCCAGAGTGTGCATTGGCAGGGCCTGGAATTGGAAGCAGAGCTGGGACTCGACCCCAGGCACTCTGATATGTGACGTAGGCATTGCAATCAGCATCTTAACTCCTGCACCAAATGCCTCAGGAAAGGATTTTTTAGTTTGTTTATTTTTTTTAAAGATTTATTTATTTACTTGAAAGAGTTACAGAGAGAGGCAGAAGCAGACAGAGAGAGATCTTTCATCCACTGGTTCACTCCCCAGCTGGCTGCAACAGCTGGAGCTGTGCCCATCCAAAACCAGGAGCCAGGAGCTTCCTCCAGTTCTCACATGCAGATGCAGCGGCCCAAGGACTTGGGCCATCTTCTACTGCTTTCCCAGGCCATAGCAGAGAGCTGGATCGGAAGTGGAGCAGCCAGGTCTCAAACCGGCGCCCATATGGGATGCCGGCATTGCAGGTGGTGGCCTTACCCACTACGCCACAGCGCCGGCCCCAATTACCCATAATTCTATCACCCAGAGATCATAGCTTCTGACACTTGACAGTCCTTTTTTGTTGATTGCTTTTCTGCGCATATAAACATACTTTTAAAATTGAATGAGGTCAGGCCGGCGCCGCGGCTCACTAGGCTAATCCTCCGCCTTGCGGCGCCGGCACACCGGGTTCTAGTCCCGGTCGGGACGCCGGATTCTGTCCCGGTTGCCCCTCTTCCAGGCCAGCTCTCTGCTGTGGCCAGGGAGTGCAGTGGAGGATGGCCCAAGTGCTTGGGCCCTGCACCCCATGGGAGACCAGGATAAGTACCTGGTTCCTGCCTTCGGATCAGCGTAGTGCGCCGGCCGCAGCGCACCGGCCATAGCGCACCGGCCGTGGCGGCCATTGGAGGGTGAACCAACGGCCAAAGGAAGACCTTTCTCTCTGTCTCTCTCACTGTCCTCTGCCTGTCAAAAAAAAAAAAAAAAAAAAATTGAATGAGGTCTATGCTTTGTCTCTAACAGTATGTCATGAAAATTTACCCCTAGGATTAAACATCCTACAAGCATGTTTAATGGCTGTATATTATTGCTATGTAAATTTTTAAAATTAAGAGTCAGTTTTTACATGAAATTTCAGTTATTAAGATATCAGAAGTTTTGCATTTTAAGGAAAATATGTATTTGTTAGTCATAAATATACATAAGCATTTTGTGTAATTAAAAAGCAAAATAATTTTAGGAATGACATATGGAGTGGTAAAAGTGCTGGGGTTTTGCTATATGGGTAGAGTTAGGGATTTTCTCCCTTAGCACTAATTTTTTCAAAGTATATGTTTATTTTGTTTGAAAGACAAACTGAGAGAGATTTTTCATGTGCTGGCTCACTCCGCAAATGCCTGCAACAGTCAGGGCTGAGCCCTGCCCAAACCGGGAGCCTGGAACTGAAACCAGGTCTCCCCTGTGGTGGCAAGGACCCAAGTTGTGAGCCATTGTCTGCTGCCTTCTGGTGTGCACATTAACAGGAAGCTGGATTGGAAGGCGGAGGAGCTGGGATTTGAACCCAGGGACTCTGCTATTGGGTATGGGTGTCCCAAGCAGGGACTTAACCACTGTGCCAAATACCCACCCTATTGTTAATTTTTTATTAATTAAAGTAAGATATGTCCTTTTTTTTGGAAATTCACAAGACATGGAAAAATGGAAATACCGCAAAATCACCCACAATGATACTCCAGTGCACCCAGCTGATTTGAATATTTTAGAGTATTTCCTCTGTGTTTGTTGTTCTAAATGTAATTAGGATCCCACTCTAGGTTGATCTGACCTGTATTAAACTGTGGAAGCTGCCAGAGGGAGTTGGGGTTTAGAAGCTGAGGAGGAAACAGACAAGAAAATTTTGGAAATTTAGGAGGGAGGTTGATTTAGGTGGCTGCGTTTTCCCCACGTGGTAACTTGTGATGGAGCAAGGGAGATTCCCCATGGTGGGGCAGGAAGTGGAGGAGCTGAGGGACGTAGCTGGGACTGTTGCAAGGAGAGGCTTCATAGCACCTGCTTGTTGTATTCCTGACTCTCCTATGGGAGTTCTTGCTAACTCTTTTGTCATCTTTCACAGGGATGTGTTTGAACTAAACTTCATGAATGTCAAATTTTCCAGTGGCTATTATGACTTCTCTGTCAAAGTTGAAGGTGACAACCGTTACATTGCCAATGCTGTAGAGGTGAGTGCATGCCTTGTCCCTGATGTGCAGGGAAGTGAGCTGGCTAAGGTCTCGACATTAGTCATCTGGTGTCTTCTGCACACAGAGGGACAGGTGTGAGCTACGCTGCTTGACAGCCCTGGCCATGGCAGTGTATTGAGAACTTGTTTGGGGCTGGTTATATTTGTAAATTACTCATTTTCCTTTATAATTTTACCTATCTTCCATAAAATTATGAAGTAGGAAAGTTAAAATAATCCATTCTATGCCTTTGTGCAGTAGGCTTTGGTATGTTTAGAAAGGGGCTGGTGCCAGCTGGTAGACAGAGTGTCAAGTGCCACATCTGGAACCCTGCGGCAAGGCTGCCTGGGTGACCTCATGGTGAATTGTGTCTCAGATGCTTCAGAGGCTGAAGCTCCAGGGGCAGGAGCTGGGCCCTGTTGGCCTCACGCTATGCAGGAATGACGTGGCCATGTTTGCCCTGCTGTTTAGAGTTTACCCCTTCAGACGCTGTGGCTTTTGTCTTAACCTTTATAGATGGACACTTATTTCAGATGTGTTACGCATTCTTCCACTTTGGAAACTGTGGGACAGGGTGAGCGTTTTCTCTCTCTGAATTAGGGTCATCAGTGCAACCCTTTCTTGAAGGCCTGCTCGACAACAAGCACTGTTCTGGGTGCTTTTGGTGCCATTATTGATTTGTACAACAGTGCCGAGAGCCGGCAGGGGTACGGGGAGGTCATCTTCACTTCATCGATGAGGCTCAGAGGGGAAGTTGCTTGTCCAGGGTCATCCTGCCTGGGTGGGTGCCCTGCACAGTCCTAGTGGAGTTAGTGTTGCCCTGGAGGCTGCAGAGCTGGCCTGCAGTAACGTGCCTTTCTCCTGCCTCTGCCACCGCATTGAGTTGTCGGTGCACAGTGTTGCCACTGTCACGGCCTTAGCTGGATCTCCTGACAGCTTTGCCACTGTGTTAGCCCCTTTATGAAAGGCAAAGTGGGGGCCGGCGCTGTGGCGTAGCAGCTAAAGCTGCCGCCTGTGGTGCTGACATCCCATATGGATGCCATTTGAGACCTGGCTGCTCCTCTTTCTGATCCACCTCTCTGCTATGGCCTGGGAAAGCAGTAGAAGATGGCCCAAGTCCTTGGGCCCCTGCAGCCGCGTGGGAGACCTGGAGGAAGCTCCTGGCTCCTGGCTTCAGATTGGCCCAGCTCCAGCCATTGTGGCCATTTGGGGAGTGATCTGGCTGATTGAAGATCTCTCTTTGCCTCTGCCTCTCTGTAGCTCTGCCTTTCAAATTAATAAACAAATCTTCAAAAGAAAGAGAGAGAGAGAGCTTCTATCTGCTGGTTTGGTCCCCAAATACTCAAAGCAGCTGAAGCTGAGCCAGGCCCAAGCCAGGAGCCCAGAACTTTATCTGGGTCTCTCACTTGGGTGGCCGGGCCCTAAGCCCTTGTGTCATCATCTGCTGCCTTCCAGAATGCATTACAGGGAGCTGGATCGGAAGCAGAGGAGCTGATGTTTGAGCTGACATGCCAATATGGAATGTGGGCGTCCCAAGTGGCAGCTTAGCCAGCTGTGCCTCAATGCCTGCCCCGTAATGTAATGATTAATATCAGGAAATTGACATGGGTAAGATACTGTTAACTAATTTACAGCTCTTAATTCAGATTTTCCCAGTTGTCTCACCAATGTCCCTTAATGATCCAGTTTTCAATCCAGGAACCAGAAATTAATTCTGGGTCTCCCACATGGGTGGTAGAGTCCCATCGACTTGAGCCTTTTCCTGTGCCCGCCAGGGTCTGCATTAGCGGAAATTTGGAGTCAGGAGCCAAGCTCTTTAGCAAATGCAGGTCCTAGGCTATGGGATACAAACATCTTAACCATGAGGCCAAACGCCCGCCTTGACCTTGACACTTCTGAGGAGTACTAGCTGTTTATGCTGTAGACCTCGCCTGGATTTGGGTTTGTCGGATGCTTTTTCCCGGCTAAACTCAGGTCTCTGATTCGTCTGTGGAGATGATCTGACATTGGTATTGGTCCTCAGTGCGCCATGTTAAGCTGTGTGTGGTGGTGTGTCCTGTTGCCAGACGTTGTAACTTTGCTGTGAAGCTGCAGGTTTTCTGTTTGTGGGGCGATGCTTTGAGACTCGCAGGTATCCTTATCACCTTGTCTGTAATCGTTATTGCTGTGGCATTTGCTGAAAGGTGATTTCCTGCATTCCTTCTATATTTACTAGTTGGAATTCTACCCTAAGAAGAAAACTATTCTTTTTCCTTCATTTAATCAGTTATGTGAAGCTTTAATAAACAGCTGTGTGTTTATATTGCATTGTGGATATGTGCTTTGCCGTGTGTGTAACGGCTGTTTCTGTCCTTGGCTTTCTTGCTCATGTCATCCATTTCCTGGATCGGCCTCCTCAAGTTGGCTTCTCTGACGCTTTCTTTTGCTGAGAAGGGTTGGCAGCTGGAAGGCTTGACCTTTTCAGAAGCGGGACATTGTTTAACATAGGTAGATTAAACACTTGCATTCAAAATTTGGCAGAAAGGAAAATGTTTTCTGGAACCCTAGGCTCTGCCTCATGTCTGACCTTTTGGGCGTGAGACATCTCATCCCAGTCCATTCGCTAACACGAAATATGGAAAGAAACTATTTTATTGTGTTCCTTGAACTTTAAAATCCCAGATTCTTATTGTTTCCTTCATTGACAGGCGGCCTTGTTTGCAACCTACATGAGAAGGAAAACTTCCCCATCCCCATCAAACTACCCTTTCTTCTCCAGCTTAAATGCCAGGTTTATTCTTTTCAGCTGTTCTTACACTCATCCTGTCCTTACACGTCTAACTTCTAGTCACTTCTGAAGTCTGGCTGCCCCCTCTTCTGCATGTTTTCTCTGAGCCTTTTGTTTTACTAGGAAACCAAATCGCCAAATTGCTGTTCATATACTTACCATTGGCTGAAATTCTCAGTTTTTATAATTTGATGGGTAGGAAATGGTTCCTTGTTTTAATGTTTTTCCTTTGCTACTAGTAAAATTGAACATCTTTACTTTTTGTAAGATTTATTTTTTATTTATTTGAAAGGCAGAGCTACAGAGAGAGGGAGAGAGAGATATCTTCCATCTACTGATTCACTTCCTAAATGGCTGCAATGGCCGAGAATGGGGCTGGCCAAAGCCAGGAGCCTGGAGCTTCTTCTTGGTCTCCCACATGAGTGTAGGGCCCAAGTACTTGGGCCATTTTCTGCTGTTTTCCCAAGCACACGCCGTAGGCCACAATGCCAACCCTCCTTTCTGCTGCTTTTCTCAGACCATTAACAGGGAACTGGATTGAGAGTGGAGCAGCCGGAACAGAAATCAGTGTCCGTATGGGGTGCTGGTGTTGCAGCCGGAGGCTTAATTCGCTATGCCACAACAGTGACCCCGAACCCGCACTTTGATTTGGGACACAAGATCACGAGTGGTGGCTTAACCTGCTGTGCCACGACACCAGCCCCCAAGGGGTATATTAGCCTCTGCCCCAAATACCTGCCCCTCTGATGTGTTTTGAGTTAATTTTGATTTATTGTGTGAGTTAGGGCTCTACCCCTTTTGCATGTAGATATCCAGTTGTCCCAGCAGCATTTGTTGAAAAGACTATCCTTTGCTTGTTGAATTGCTTTGGCATCATTGTCAGAAATCACTTGACCATAAATGTAAGGGTTAATTTCTAGACTCCCAATTTTTTTCCCTTAATTTGTATTTTTGTCTTAATGCCAGTGCCACACTGTCTTGATTGCCATAACAGCTTGACTTTTTGTAACGTCAAATCTGGTTTTTGTCCAGCTGTTTCTGTGGTTGTGGTAAAAATTATCTAAGTATGAAATAGCAGAAATGGCTAATGGCTGTTGTTCATACAACGATAATAAGCGCCTGTTGAGGGCATTTGCTGTCCTCCTTCCTGGAGATGGAGTAGGCATTACAAATCTCTCTTTCCCTCTTCATTACATTAGAGCAGCGAGAGAGAGAGTTGGCCCTGACCTCTGCCATATACGTAGCTTTATTTTGTAATCTCAGTAATAGTCGCACTTAGAGCCTCGAAGCAGGCCAGCAGGTCCCGTCTCCTCTCCCTGGAGACGCTGACATTGGTCAGAGTGCATTAGCGGTGGTTTGGTGGGGAAGGCCTGGAATAGCACTCATTGACATTGAGCTGGCTATTGGGGAAGCTTGGGTTTTAGAAGCTTTCATTAGCATTAATTGCCCCTAATGTACCATCATTTTTGACAGTAATAAGCTAAACAGGGGGCTATTACTCCCAGCAGAAAGACTGTTTCCTGATGTTAAGCCATTTTTGCAGTGTATGTGAATGCCAGCAGGCAAAGAAAGGGCTGGCACAGAGTGGAGGAAAGCAGGCCTCCCTGCCTTCCTAGTGGGGAAACAAGCCCCTGTTGCAAACCTAACCATACAGGGCTGCTTTGACGGAAGGAGCCGCCAACCGGGGTGCTCCACTAGATTCCTTCAGACAGGGCCTTGAGAAAAGTTAGGATGATTTCTGTTTCTCAATTTGCTTTAAAGAAAGCATGAACAAGTTTTTCTCTGGGGTGTTTCCAGAGACCCATCATCTGTATTAAGATTCGGAGAGCGTTAAAACAGTGTCTGCAGTAAAGGAAGAAACTGTAACTTGGGAAGCCTTTTTTTCTTTTTTTTTAAGATTTATTTTATTGAAAGGCAGAGTTACAGAGAGATGGAGAGAGATCTTCTATCAGCTGGTTCACTCCCCAAATGGCCGCAACAGCTGGGATTGGGCCAGGCTGAAGCCAGAAGCCAGGAGCCAGGAGCTTCTTCCAGGTCTCTCACGTTGGTACTGGGCCATTCTGGGCCATTCTCTCTTTCTCTCTCTTGTTTTTTTTTTTTTTAATGGTTTTTGTTGTTGGATGCTTTAAGATCATGTTTTCTTTCTTTCTTTCTTTTTTTTATTTATTTGACAGGTAGAGTTATAGACAGTGAGAGAGAAAGGTCTTCCTTCTGTTGTTTCACTTCCCAAATG